GAGGAAAAAGAGTCAGAGTATTCAGGGAAAGGCAGCTGGTTACGGGGCAGCCTCTGCAGGCAGGACACCATGTTGTGGTAGATTTGCAGACATTCTCAGGTCTCTTTTTGCTTTTTTTTAAAATTTTCAACCTATTAAAACTAATGTATGAAATACACACTGGCTATGAAAAAGTTAAATTAAAAAAACAAAAACAAAACCAGAACCCAAAATTCTCATCAAAATCCCAGCAAGATATTTGGTAGATATAGGCAAGATTATTCTAAAATTTATATGGAAAGACAAAGAAATCAGAATAGCAAAATAAATGTTTAAAAAGAGTAAAATGGGAAGAATCATCTCACCTGATTTCCAGATCTACTACATGCCCACAGCAATCAAGACGGTGTGGCCCTGGCTGCATGGCTGCCCTGGCAGTGGCCTTGGAGCACCGTCCTGGACACCAGAAGGCTGTGGGTTCCATCCCTGGTCACAGCACGTGTAGGAGGCAACCAGTGGATGTTTCTCTCTCACTCTCTGTCCCTTCTTCTCTCTCTAAAACCAATAAAAAACCATATCCTCAGGTAAGGATTAAAAAACCAAAAAAGACTGTGTGGTATTAGTAGAGACACAGGTCAATGAAACAGAAGAGAGAACCCAAAACAGAGCCACCCAAATATGTCCGGCTGGTTTTTGACAAAAGTGCAAACATATTAATAGCAGGAAGACAATCTTTTTAAAAATACATTTTATTGATTATGCCATTATAGTTGTCCCACTTCCCCCTTTCATTCCCCTCCACCCTGCACACCCCTCCCCCACCATTCCCCCCTTTAGTTTATGACCATGTGTCTCAAGTTCTTTAGATTCTATATTTCCCCTACTATTCTTGCCCTTCCCCCATCTATTTTCTACCTACCATCTACGCTACTTATTCTCTGTACCTTCTCCCCCCTCCTCCTCCTCCTCCCACTCCCCTGTTGCTCACCCTCCACGTGATCTCCATTTCTATGGTTCTGCTCCTGATCTAGCTGTCCACTTAGTTTGCTTTTGTTTTAGGTGTGGTTGTTAATAACTGTGAGTTTGCTGTCCTTTCACTGTTCATCTTTTTTATCTTCTTTTTCTTAGATAAGTCCCTTTAACATTTCATATAAGGGCTTGGTGATGATGAACTCCTTGAACTTGACCTTATCTGAGAAGCACTTTATCTGCCCTTCCATTCTAAATGAAAGCTTTGCTGGATAGAGCAATCTTGGATGTAGGTCTTTGGTTTTCATGACTTGGAATACTTCTTTCCAGCCCCTTCTCCCCTGTAAGGTCTCTTTTGAGAAATCTGCTGACAGTCTGATGGGAACTCCTTTGTAGGTGACTGTCCCCTTAGCTCTTGCTGCTTCTAGGATTCTCTCCATTTTAATCTTGGGTAATGTAATGATGATGTGCCTTGGTGTGTTTCTTCTTGGGTCCAACTTCTTTGGGACTCTCTGAGCTTCCTGGATTTCCTGGAAGTCTATTTCCTTTGCCAGATTGGGGAAGTTCTCCTTTATTATTTGTTCAAATAAGTTTTCCACTTGTTGCTTCTTCTCTCCCCTGTCTGGTACCCCTATAATTCAGATGTTGGAACATTTAAAGATGTCCTGGAGGTTCCTAAGCCTCTCCACATTTTTTTGAATTCTTGTTTCTTCCTTCTTTTCTGTTTGGTTGTTTCTTTCTTCCTCCTGGTCCATTGATTTGAGTCCCAGTTTTCTTTCCATCATTATTGGTTCCCTGTGCATTTTCCTTCATTTCACTTAGTGTAGCCTTCATTTGTTCATTTAATTTGCGACCAAAATCAATCAGTTCTGTGAGCATCCTGATCACCAGTGTTTTGAACTGTGCATCTGATAGGTTGGCTATCTCTTGGTTGCTTAAAAGTATTGGCTCTGGGGCTTTGATTTGTTCTTCTGATTGAGCCATTTTTGGTCAGGTCGAACCTGTTATATAAGAGTGGCGGAGCCTTAGGTGTTCACCAGGGCAGGGCAACCCAGTTGCTGGGTTGTGACGATGTATGTAGGGGCGGGGTCAGAGAGAGAACAAGGGTGCTCATTCTGCTCTCTCTCAGATTTCAGTCCCCTCTGCTGCTTCCCACAAGCAAATCGGGCCCTTCTGGTGCTGGTTCCTGGGCGGATGGGCTTGTGTACATTCTAGGGCCCTGTGGGTCTCTCCAATGAACTCTCCTGTGAGGCTGGGAGTCTCTCCCGGAACCTCAACCCCCACAAGTGTTTTCAATCGGTGCTTTTAAGTTTTATTTCCCATCGCTGGGGGCCCTGGGTTGTGCAGTCTGTATCACTGCCCATTTTTTGCCTGGTTTTTCTGCATGCGAATGTGTGACCGAGGTCAGCCAGCTGCCTGGCGCACCTCACTAGGTTGGGTCTGCTTGTTTCCTCCCCACGCCTGGTTCTGCCAATCCCTACTTGTTACTGTTGTGGCCCCTCTCTGCCTGCCGCCGACTCTGCCCCTCTTACCGGTCTGTATGAATGGTTCCTTGTCATCAGACTTCTGTACAGTTCAATTTTCTGTGTTTTGGTTGTGTTTTTGTTACTAATACTTTGTTGTCCCTAAACTTGGTTGTGGGAGGAGGCACAGTGTCTCCACCTACGCCTCCATCTTGGCTGCAAGTTCCGAAGACAATCTTTTAAATAAATGGCGCTGGAGCAACTGGACATCTGTGGGCACAACACAAACAAAAAAGTGAATCTTGACTTAAGTCTCACACCTTATATGAAACCAACTCAATCACAGACTTAAATGTGAAATGTAAAATGATACAGCATTTAGAAAAGAAATGGGAGAAAATCTTGAGGGCCAGGGAAAAGTTCTTAGACACCACATGAAAAGCATAGTCTGAAAAGGAAATACTGATAAACTGGACTTCATTAAAAAGAAAAGCTTTTGTTCCAAAACAGAGGATGAAAAATAAGCTGCATGGTAGGAGAAAATATTTACAGATCATCTACCCGACACAGGACTAGTATCTAGACTATGTACATAATCTGCAAAACCCAACAGTAAATCAATCAATCAATCAAACTGTCTAATTCAAAAATGGACAAAAGACAAGAAAAGACATTTCACTACCCAGGATATACAGGTGACCGGCAAAGACATGAAAATAGGCTCACCATCGTCAGCCATGAGGGAAATGTAAATAAAATCACGACACACCTAATGGAATAGCCAACATAAGAAACAGCAACACCTCCAAATGCCGCACAAGACTCACAGAGAGACGGGATCACTCACACACGGCTGGTGAGAATGCAGCACAGGGAAGCCCCTCAGGAAAACAGTTTCTTAAAAGGCTAAACATGACCATGGAGCCCAGCGACCGGGTCCTGGGCGTTTATCCCGGGAAACGGAGCCAGGTCCACGCCCAGGCCCACACGTGGGTGCGCAGCAGTTTTCTCGGAGGAGCTGCAAAGTGGAAACAGCCCGCCCGTCCGCCAGTGGGTGGAAGGTCCAGCAGACAGCGGTCCGTCAGTCCCATGAACAACTACGCAGCGGTGAAAAGGAAGAACTACTGATAAACACGGCAACCTGGGTGACTCCCCAGAGAATAAGGTTGAGTGGAGAAAGCCAGCCCCAGAAGACTGCATTCTGTACGATTCTAGCTATATAACTCTCTTGAAATGACAAAACTATAGACATGGAGAAGAGTTTAGTGGTTACAAGTTCAGCACAGAAGGGGAGAACAAGAGGGAGGTGGTGTGGCGCACGGGCAGCCTGAGGGGCCCCTACAGTGACGGAAGTGTCTGTATTTTGACTGTCAAGGTCCATATCCTAGTTGTGATATTACACTGCAGTGTGGAAAACCTCACCGTTGGAGGAGGCTGGGTAACACTGTGTGGGCTCTGTGTGTATTTCTTCTTACGGCTGCAAGTGAATCTACAATGATCTCAAAAAGTTTAATGAGAATAAAAGGACAGAGATGAAACTGTCCCAAAAAAAACGGCAGACATGGATGGGTCTGTGCCCTGGGCTGCTCTGGGCTTCATCAAAGGCCTCACATCCCATAAGGGACCCAGAAGGGACAGAGTGTGCTCATCAGAGAGAGCCTCAGTATTGAGGTGGCATCTAGTGGCCCGACAGTCCCCTGGGAGCCCCAGGGGACTCACCCTGCCCTGTTGGCAGCCCCTGGGGGAAGGGGGAGAGAGAAGCTGGACGATGGGCTCACTCTAGTCAGCTCCGAGCCACTGGGCAGAGCTGGCCAGGCTCTGGCGGCCCAGCAGCAGGCCTCAGCGCATGCACACCTGGATCGACCCTGCCCACAGGCAGGATGAGACAGGGACGCTGTCTCTTCCCAGGTAAGATCGGGAACCACTTAGTCGGTGTCCATCAGCAACCAGCAAACGAGTAGGTGTGGCTTGCTCAAGGCTGTGTCTCCGGGAGCTAATGGTGCTTCTGACTGAGAGTCCTTAAGGAGAGCAGCTTTCTCCAATTAAGTAACCACAGGCAGTCCGCCTGGTAACCAGAAGGTAAACATAACATGATTTATTACTTCACGAGGTCCAAGAATTGCTATTTTGATCTGTTAACCGCTTCTAATGAGGACGCAGCGTGAGAGATGGAACTGACAGGAGGGTGAGGGTGCTGAGAGGCGGTGTGCAGGGAGCGCTGCGTTCACGGGAGCTACTGTTTGCACGTGAGCACCAGCCGCGCTGCTCCTGCAAATGCAGGCGCCTGTGAGGGGGATGGAAATGACCCATGGAGATGGAGAAAAAACACAGCTCTGGTGGACATCCTGCGGACAAGGAGGCAGGCTGAGTGACGTGAGCCGGGCACAGTGGCGGGCTCTCTTTGCTCTGACCAGCACTAATGCTGAACCTAAAATAACGTCTGTTCCCACTGGCCTTCTTTCTGTTTCTGTGACTCGCCCGGTTGTTTCCTACCCCAGGGCCTTTGCACTGCTGCTCCCCCACCCCCCCACCTGAGTGCTCTGCCTTCCGATCCAAGCAGACTCCCAGGTCTCAGCATCCCTACCTCTTCCTCAGAAGGGCTGTTCCTGGCAACTCCCTCCACTCGCAGTCCCTGCAACAGCTCGGTTTGTCTCCTCTGCACCATGGACACTCAGGAAACCTCTTCTTCACAGGTTTATTGTCCCCACCACAGTAGAAGATCCATAAAGAGGGAGTCTGTCCGTTTTATCCCCCCAGTTATCCCCATTTTCTGGCATAGAAAGTTTCCATAAATGCCTGTTGAAAGAATCAGGGAATGAGGCTGTCCGTCTTTCTGTAGCAGTTTCAATTCTGCCCAGGAAGGCGGCAGTCCCAGTAAAGGTCCCTCTCAGGGGATTTTGCTGCCTATGGCAGACTCCAAAGGGCAAAGAACCCCCACCTTTTGGGAAATCCCTTGGTTGGAGCTTGTGATACATCTGACACATCGGGTGGGCAGGCGAAGACTGGGCCCAAGGCGCCCAGGGCTGTGTTGGGGACACACCTAAGTCGGTGCGGTTGGCTCCTGTCTCCACCCACGAGGCTGGGCTCAGCCACAGTCTTCCCTCCTGCTCCCGCCCAACACTACCTATGTGACGACACCCGAGTTTTCTAAGATAGAAGCTGGATAATTCTGAACCTCTTCTTCAGTTTCCAATGTGGGCTGTTGAAGTCACTTCCCAGCGAGGACAGAGCTCCTGTCACAAGTCAAGAGACCCAAGTCTAGCTTGACCGTGCCAATGACTCACCCTGTGACCTTGGATGACAAGCCCGGGCCTGGATCTTTGCAAAGGACACGTGGCCTCTGGGCTTCCATCTTAGCCAGGCATCCTTTGTCCTGCCCAGGTTACTGTGGGTGGGGGAGGCCGCCTTCGCCCAGAGAGAGGTCTCCGTGGTGAAAACTGATGCCTGTGAAGCCGCCCAGTATGCCGTGTTTTGTCATGGCCACCCAAACGGACCACGACAGCGAGGCTCCTTGGGCCCTGCAGACCACCCTGGGACCCTTCACCAAGCTCCACCTGCAGGAAAGGGCCACGCAGGGGCAAAGGGCCACACGGTGCGGAGGCTCACCCACCCCGGAGAGGCGGCTCCCAGGGCTGTGGGGCTGGGCAAGACCACCAGCCTCTGACACCCGAGAGCCATGAGACATCCGACAGGCCACTCCACTCCGGCATCCGGGCCTGGGTTTCTGTAACTGAGAACGAGAACAGTAGTGATCAATGGAATTAAACACAAAATGGTACAAGAGAACACAGCGCCTGGCACAAGGCAAACTCTCTCAGCACAGGGCAGCTCCTGGTAAGACGATGATGAGAGTGGAAGATGATGAAAAAAGCCAGGAGAGGAGCGACCTCTGGCTGCGGACAGAGGAACATGCGTGCAGGGCATCTGAACTCGCGGCTCTTTGGAAGTTAAAGGCATGTGTTGCCACATGAGGCTTGGAGGAGAGCCCCGGGCCCGGGAAAGTGGTGCGCCTTCCAAGGGGGCATTTTAACGCCAGCGAGCTCCACAGCGTGGACACACTGCAGAGGTAGCCTACGCGCCTGTCTCCCAGCTCAGCTGGGCTCTCACAGGTCAGGGGGGGACGGCCACGCCCCGGGATGGCGAGTCGGCTCCAGAAGCCCCAGCCGAGTGAGCCGTTAAAAACGACCCCTCGGGCGGCCGGACGGCCGTGCAGCACCGTGAGGCCCAGCTGAGGACACGAGGGGACCTGCGGGCTGCAGAGCCCTTCTGATTGCAGCTGTTCCAGGAACGTCTGTGGCAGGCGCTGGACAGGAAGATTAGAAACAGCGATTTGCTGGAGTGATGGGATTAGGGATGATTAAAGCAACATTTCTGCTATGGTTCTTACACTGAGGTCTGTGCCATTTTCAAGTAAAAAAGAATTCTCATTCTCATTCCCATTCTTTCTCTCTCTCTAAATGGATCCAGCCCCAGTGAGAGCCAGTGAAGAGAAATTGATGCAAATTTATAGCAGCTGGAAGAATAGCAAATTGTTAGCCAATGAAAAAAACATGGCTGGGTGTTGTCATCAAGGTTTTCAGCCCCGATGGGCATTAAAGAGACAGAGGAGAAAGGGAGAGTCTCGAGGAACCTTGTGAATCAGGAAACCCTGGGCCCTACGGCAGAGGCCACGGGGCCCGGCCACTGCGTCGGCCGGAAGACGCCTCGCCACGCGGGCCCCTCGGAAGAGGAGAAGCTGTAGGGAGCCAAGCGGTCACTTAGGCACATCAGGCCCTTGTGCCCTGGTCCTCTCTGGGGATGGCCCCTCGTGGACAGCCGAGCTGGGGAGCGAGGGGATAATCACCCAGGTGTGAAACCGCAGCTGCGTGATCCCCGCCACAGTCCCGACAGTCCGGGGCTGAGAGGGGCCCCGGAATGCCACCCTGGTCCCCCCACGCCCGGGCCCAGCCAGGCTGGCCTCGGCTCAGCTGTGATGGGGCTCGGGCCCTCCGCTCCTTTGGTCTCTCCAGACAGAGTCCATACATGGTGGTCTGTGTCCAGGAGGGGAAACTGAGTCTCTGATGAAACAAGAAACTTGCCAGAGGGCCCGAGGGCCGGAGGTCCAAGGCCACACGTCCTGGTCAGTGGTGGAGTGGGATCCCAACACCCCCACGCTCGGGGCCAGCCAAGTGCCTGGAACGAGGAAGGAAGTAAAATGCAGGCAAAATGCCCTTTGTGCTCACACAGGACGGGCAGGTCCCGGGACCGGGTCAAACTGCCCGCAGGCTCCAGATGCTGCTCAGAGCAGAGGCCTGGGGCCCGGCAGCAGGGCACTTCGGGAGGACAGGCCCACGGACAGCCTCAGACAGCCCGACACAGTGCTGTCTTCACGGAGAGGGAGCCTGAATGAACGTTAGAGATGCAGAAAAGGAAAACAGATTCCCGACCCCTGGCCGCTCAGCAAGCAGGTTTGCACACGGGCTCGGGAGGAGAGATCGCTGGTTTTGAACTTCTGTGCTGCTCTGGGCCTTCGGAAACTGCCCACAACAGAGGCAAACCATCCATACCATTTCATCCCAGCGTGGAGTCCAGCCCCGTGCACTGACCCTGCCCATGGCTGCCTGGAGCCGGCCAGGAGACACCCCACATTCCTGGGCTGATGCCCTCTCTGCTGGTCATGTCTGCTTGTCAGCAGCACGTTATCACCAAAGCACATCTTACAATAATCAGAGGAATTCCGGGCCATCACAAGCCCCTCTTCCTTGGGCAGCGTCCAGGCTCTTCTCCGCGGAGCTTCAGCTCGTCCCAGTCAGTGAGCAAGGCTGCAGCAGCCTGCAGTAGACACCTAGGTCTTCCTTGTTGCCTTCTCTCCCTTTCCCTGACCCCCAGCTCCTTCAGAATCCCCTTTCTCCTGCAGGGACTGTCCCTGTCCTTGGCCTGTCCCTGTCCTTAGCCTGTCCCTCTCGGCTCTTATGCTTGGTTCTGCAGAGCAGAGCTGCAGAATTCTGACCACGAGCATCTGAGACCAAGCGTCTGAGGCCATCTTCCCCATGTCTGATCCGACAGAAGTGGAACAAAACTGGCAAAAATGGGGATGAGAGCTCAGAGCCCTCTAGCCGGGTCTCTGCTACCTGCCACTGAGCACGCCCCTCCTCTGTACCCCGGCATTTGTACCCCGATATGCCCAAGAATGCAAAGATGCTGCAGCAGGTCAGTGTCAGAGGTAAGGCCAGAACCCAGGCTTCCTGACTGTAGCCACAGGATTCCAGCATGTCCCCCCTTCTGCCACCAGGGAACCTCTACTTTAGTGGGCCCCTACACTCCCCGGCTCCACCCCCATTTGTGTTGGTGTGAGTCCAGTGGCTCCGAGGTTTGGATGGTTTTCCTCTTTCCTTTTGTTCTGCACTGGCATCTCTGAGCAGTGGATTCGGGGGGACAATCAGGTGACCAGGACCCACCTGCACGGTGCCAGGGCTGGGGCATGCTGCTGCAGGGGCTGTGGCGCCTCCCCTGGGCGTCACACCACTGGTTCTGAGGAACCCACTGCCACTCGGTGCCAGCAGCAGTGAATATCGGGCCCAGGAGGGCCCGATTCCTGCAAAGAGCCACCTGACTGCTCTGTAAATGTGGCATCAGGTTCTCAGGTCACAGGAGGGGTCCTGCAGTTTAGGCAGAAGGACACAGAAGTCAGCATCAGGCGAGTCAGCTCTGGTGTGCGCTTTGGGTGCCTGGGCGTGCCCCCTCTCCGGGAGCTGGGCTCCCGTCTATCAAGGGGATCGCAACCTCCCTGCTCTGGGCCCTCCCTGCAGAGTGTGACATGTGAATGAGGTCAGTGGCATGTCCTGTGGAGCTCTGCCCTGGAGTCGGACTGACCTGGGTTTCAGCATGAACATGGCCACGTGGGACCCTGGGGAAGACCCCCATCCCTGTGGGCCTCGTCTGCTGTATGAGACTGGAGGGCCCACGATGGGGTGGGGGCAGCCATGTAACGTGTGTGTGTGTGTGTGTGTGTGTTCCGTGAAGCGCTCTGCAAAGGCCTGGCACCCACCACCACAGCCACACCCCCTTTCACAGAGCGTCCAGGCCCCACCAGCACTCCCGTGATGCTGAAGAAGCCCCCCACTGGGCCTGGCCACATCAGGGCAGGCGGGCCCACCGGGGGGTCCAGGCAGCCGCCCAGCCTCAGCCCACCCGGATCCAAAGAACAGGGCCTGTTTTAAGGCCTGAAGGATGGGCTGGGTCAACTGAACCAGCCCTGAGTGGGGGGCCCTCCTGGGGGAACCACCACTCCCCGACTTAGCTGCTCAAGTGAGCAGGGGCTGCAGCCACTCTGGGCTGTGGTGTTCTTCCACCCCAGCCAAGTAAGAGAACAGATGGGTTACATGCAGTTTTCCAACAAATGGTTTTGGGGGGCTGTTGGTCCAGCTGATCTACGTGCCCCAGAGGAAGCGTTTCTGGATGGAGGGCAGCAAAGCCCTGCCCGCAGCAGACAGAGCCTCGGCTCACCTGCCCTCCGGCTGAGCTGGTGTGCAAGGCAGTGCCTAGTACGTCCTCACATAACGTGGGCAGTAAGTTCTGCGACTTTGAGCGCAGCGACTTACAGCAGAACCGACTGTGCCACAGGCTCATCGGTGTCAACAAGGGTCAGGCTCCTGCGGCATCTCATCAGCCTTCTAAGGAAACTGGTTGAACAAAAGGACGTTACGGGAGGACCTGCTGCGTGTCTCTGCCATGTGAGAAGGTGGGGGACCGGGCAAGTGCCCGCCACAGAGGCTCTTCGTCCCCCCTCCCCACCTTCCCGCCACATTCCCGAGCGAGTCTGGGCAGCCTGGGCAGCCTGGGCATTCCCGTGGCTGAGGTTTCTTCGTGTTCTCAGCCGATGCCCCCTCCCTCTTCCTGCGTCAGCAAGAGCACCTTTCCTTTTTGCCCCAGGGGAATGCGGGAGAATCCTCTCCCGTCCCCCCCACTGACCCCCCCTTCCCTGGGAGCCAGGATTCCACGCCCCCGCTGCTCCTGCGCACAGCCCACTCCCCCAGGACACCGCGGTGGCACACACCTGCCGTCCCTGGTGTACGAGGCGGCTCGCTCACCTGCCTTTTGGGTTGATTTGACTGACTGTGACCCTGAGACAGGGGGCCCTGAGAAAAACCCAGAGGGAAAAATAAGTCTTTGTAAAATGATAATGTAGGCTCTTTATTTTAATTTCTATTTTCAATGCTAGCTCTTTAAAAAAATTAAACGTTGTATTTTGAGATAATTATAGACTCACATGCAGTTGTAGGAAATAATAAGAGAGATCTCATGTGTCCTTGACCCAGTTTCCCTCAGTGATAAACATCTGGTAAAACTGGGGCACACTGTCACCACTGGGACACTGTTGTGGGGACAGTGTGCTGATCCTCGCCATGGCCCCAGGCCCCTGTGTACATGTGTGTTTGGTGCAGTGTGGTTTTCTCACACGTGTGGGTCCATGCACACATCAGCACAGCTGAAATGCAGAGCGGTCCCCAAGCCGCTGGCGGGCCCTCTGGTGTAAGCACACCCACCTCCCACCCCTCGCCCTCACCACCTCTCACCTGTTCTCCGTCTCTTACCTCCTACTGCCTCAGAAGCATGGTATAAGCACAATCCGCAGCACATAGCCTTTTGGCACTGGCCTTCTTTTCACACAGCCACCTCTCTGGAGGGCCAGACAAGTTGTCGTGTGCATCGACAGTTTGTTCTCCTTTGGCTCAGTGGTGCCCAGGCTGTCCTGAGAAGGAGGTAGGTAGTGAGCTCCCTGATATGTGAGGCATCCAAGCAGAAGCAGAAAGTTGCTGCTCAGGGATGTGGTCTCTCAACGGGAGAGAGAGAGACATATCCAACAGGACAAAAATGGGTCCTTGGGGACAAAAACCCTTAGCTGCTATAACGACCTTGGCCTCCGAAGGGCCACTGCACATAGATACACACACGGTATATTGTGGTATCGAAACTCCATAGGAGGAGGCCATGGCGGGAAAACATCCACACGGCGAGAAGCACTGCCATCGAAGGGATGCCGTGCTAACGGGAGCCGGGGCGAGGGTCTCAGAGGCCGTTCTTCCTAGTCCGGAGCTCCCAGCAACCCTGCTCCTGGTTTGTAACTCGAAGCCGCAGGCCACGGCTGCCCCTTGTTCCCTGTGCATGTAGACGGGGTCAGGGGCTGCCTTTCCATCGCAACGGCGGGAACGACTCCCTGTTGGGCGAGAGCCCCTCTCAGATGCCCAGGACCTCGGAGAGGAAACACAGCCGCTCTTCCTCCATGAGAGAGGCTTTACTGTGCCAATGAGCCAATGCACCGACCTTGTGCACGGTCAGGGGGCCGTGGGACACGCAGTGCCCACCCAGCATTCGCGGTGTCAGGGCCAGCCCTGCTGCTCTCCCTCAGGAGGGTCCAGTGGGTGTCCTGGAGCTGGGACCAGATAGGACTGAGGGTCACTTTTCCCTGCAGGAAACACCTGCATCCTGAGGAAAGAAGGGATGTTCAGACAAAATTCTGGGCGAGGGGGAGGTTCTTTTTCAAGGTGGAAACACACCACCCGGTATTAAGGGTCCAAGCTGCATCCACCACCAGCCTTGGAACAGACCTTGGAAACTGTGTTTCTGGGTAACAGGCACAGTTATTAGTGTTAGAAAATAAAGAATAAATGTCAACAGGAATCTACTTGTTCCGAGGAACAGCCAGGAAATACAACCCAAGGGCACCGGGACTGCACCTTGGCAAGGACACGTGAACCTGCCTGGAGCCCCCGGAAGCCACCCCCTGGTCAGGCTGGGCCTCGAGGCTTTGTTATCCGGGGCCTTAATGAGACACAATTTCCTAATTACGGGTTCAGGTGGTTCTGAGAGACAAAAGGCTGTGCTACTCAAGTTGAAGTTCTTTTTCAGGAGGCATTAGCACAGGACAGATGGATTAGTAACTTAAGTAATTTGTTTTTTCCTACAAGCGCACTTTTGTACCAACACTCCCATGTCCAGGCCTTTCATTCACTCCCTGGGGCTCTGGAGAGAGTCCTGAGAGGTGAAGTCACAGCCTCCCGACACCTCCTGGGTGTATTCCCCCAGCAGCTGCCTGCGTCTATAGCAGCCCATGGTGGCGGGGCTGTGGGTGGTGGAGATGGAGAAGCTGGAAAGGTCGCCCAAGTCAATGGGAGCCACCCGAGGCCCCACTGCACCTCAGTGGGCTCGCAGGAAGGGCTGTATCACTCTGGCTGGAGTCAGAGCCACTGGGCCGAACTTCAGGGGCCTGGACACCCCTCTGACCCTCTCACCCTGCCATAGTGACTCCCCGGACCCTTGCTCACACAGACCGGGGGCGGGGGTGGGGCGGGGTGGGGCTCAGAGCAGTGCGGGTCCAGGCGGGGAAAGCCCAGCCTGTGGGGGTGGGCCGCGTACACCCTGGGTCTGGGGCCACATTCGACCAGTCACGCCTCTGCCGTTTCTTCCGGGTGCGGCTCCTCCGCTCAGCCCCCCCGTCTCTGCCCCGCTCAGCCCCCCGTCTCCGCCCCGCTCTGCCCTCACACCTGCCGACTAGAACAGCCTCCTCGGAGCCTCCTCTCCCCTGACTCTCTAACCGGGTCCCCGGGTGCCACCTCCTGCCTTCCGGAACTGCGGGCCAGATTCATCTTCTCTGCAGTGACTCCCTTTGTCTACGTCAGCGGTCCCAACCTTTCTGGCACCAGGGACCAGTTCCGAGGGAGACAGTTTTTCCACGGACTGGGGTGAGGAGGACGGTTTCGAGATGATTCCAGAGCATAGCATTCAAGCTCCCTCCTGCCGTGCAGCCTGGTTCCCGACAGGCCCGGACCTACCTACCGGTCCACGGGCCGGAGGCTGGGGACCCCTGGTCTACAGGGTGAAGCTCAGACTATTCGGCCCCGCAGAGTCATCTCTCCACCATTAGCACGCCACACAACCCCGGCCTGAGCCCAGAGCACTGAGCAGAGTGTGGCCTGTGTGTCACCTCCGCACAGGTCCCCTTACTGCTCTGTATAGGGCCACAGGCACCCCTCCTTCCCCTAAGCCAGGCCGTGTCCCCTAACTGGCCCCAAGCAGTAGTTACAAGTGCTCTTCCGCGCAGCAGTGTGGGCCCTGGGGTGACCCTGCGGCCCTTTGTGCTCTTCCTCTTCACCTGTGTAAGGCAGAGCCTTCCTGTCTCCCAGGTGGGGGTGCAGATGGACCGAGTTAATGCAGGTGAAGTGTCAGAAGAGCACCCCCTTGTGGGAAGGGCTCAAAGCAGCCATCCCTGGGGCTATCACAGCCGGGGCACGTAAGCCAGAGTGTGCGGGGAAGGGGGGGGACATGGTGCCCCCACCCCGCCGGGCTGGCCTTCACTGCACACCAGGGATGGTTAGCGGACTTCTAGTCTGCGGATAAGCGCACACAACTGCAGGAAAGCAGAGATACGGGCTGCCAGTGTGGGAAATGGCAGGAGGAACACCATTTGCCCTCCTGCTCCTTCCTGCCCTCGGACTCCTTTCCTCAGGCCCAGCACGGGGCTGGCAGAGTCTGCGGAAGGCAGGGCTGCATCTGCTTTGGCCTCTGCAGCGACCCCAGGGGGTGGCGGCGCATTCCTGTGGTTTGTTTCAGATGCAGATCCGGGCCCCTGATCCCTTACTCCCCCCCCACCCCCCACCGCCGACTCACCGAGGGGTCCCGTGAGCCCCTCTGTGAGTGCGCCGCTCTGCCCTCCCCCATGCCTGACCAGCTCCAGGTGGACAGCCAGAGCCCGGAGCCTTTGGGGAAGGGGCGCCCAGGGGAAACGATTCCAACTTAAGCTTCGACGCCGGAAACCATTGTCAGTGAGCCTCAGCAGCACTCCCGCCCTCACCTTCGCCTTCTCTGCGGCTTCCTCTGGCTCAGTGTGGCGGGGAGGGGACAGGGGAATGAGCAGCAGGTGTCCGCGTCTCCCCCCACTCCCAGCGCCTGACTGGCTTCCCACCTTTCTCACCAGCAGCCTCCAGGGCTCCGAGCAGGCACCCCGTGGGCAGAGGCCACAGCAGCTTCCCGGCAGGAAGGCTCCAGTGGGCCTGGCAGAGCGCCTCACGTGTCTCTCACATTCTCTCCCCCCTCCCCAAAGCGGGAAGGCCATTCCACACAGGGACCTGGTTTAGAATTTACAATCAGACTCCAGAGCCATGACCCAGATCTTCCTGCAACTGGGCATCAGAGAGTCTGCAGCCCCCAGGAGATGGGAGGCCGGAAGCCCGGTGACGGAATTCAGGCTGACACCCGTGAACCAAACCAGAGCAAGTCTCGACCTACCTGAGCCTTAGTTTCCTCGTGTGCAAGGTGGAAGTAATGTCCCTTGTCCTGTCTCCCCTGGGGGCCTCCACATCCGCTCATCCATGCAGCTCGTTAAACTGCAGCCAGTGCCAGAGCCGAGCTGGGGCTGTCGGGAGAAACCCGGCCTCCAGGAACTCACCGTCCAGCTGCTCCACCGACCCTGAGAGGTCATATTTGTGGAAGTGCGAAATGCCAGGCCACTGGCATCACTAACGCAAGGCAGCCTACACTAAAACTACCTGCTGAAAAATGCAAAATGTACGGCACGTTAGTACTTCTCGGGCTGGATGGGCACGGGAATTTCCCGGGGACCTTGTTACACGGAGTTTCTGGTTCAGAAGGTCCAGGGTGGGCCCAAGCAACTGTGTTTCTAACACACAGGTGCCGCCGGTCTGCGGGCCACATTTTGAACGGCAAGGTTAAAGCCAAAATACACCTTCGGTGATCGGAGCAGCAGCGTTCGGAGGGGGGGCTAAGTCTCGGTGTGGTGCCTGGCAGTGAGCAAGTCCAGAATCCGGGGCCTCCCTGAACGGTGGCCACGGAGGGTCGTCTCTGCACCTACAGGCAAAGTGAGACTCGGGGGCATTTGCGGGACATGAGGACTGGAGGGGGGACAAGCAAGCATACTTCTGGGCCCCTCCTCAGTGTCCAGAGTGCTCTGAGGAAAGGCGGGGTCGAGGGCTGGCCAGGTTTGAGCACAGGTCTCTGGCAGCTTCTTCTGAGGTACACTCTACTCCCTACAAGTATTCAACGGGGGGGGGGGGGGGTAAGCCGGTCTCTTGGTGGGTCTCAGCTGAGAATGAATTCAGGGACTAGCCCTGCTTGAGCCAGGACACAGCAGCAGTTTGTGGAGCCGCAGGCTGGGGGAGTGCAGGGGGCTGGCCTCACCCCCAGGCCCTGCCTCCTCTCCCGCTTTGTCCCTCTCTCTGCGCTCCTCTGAGTGTCTACGGAAAGGCTGCAGGAGAAAGGCGTCCTCAGAAGGAGGAGGGGAATAAGGGCTGGGGAATCAATCTGACCCTGAGAGGAAGAGCCCACTCAGACACATGTGCTTTATAACAAGAATGGGGTTGGGGCACCTGGAAAATTCTGTTCTTCCCTTGATGAACTCTTTGCTCCAAAAACAAAGCCCATAAACTTGTTCAACAGCTGGAATTTTCCCTCTGAAGAGAGCACCTCGTCTGGCAGTTGACTTAAGCAGTTATTTGCGGTCTGTAATTTTCACAAAAACAGCAGGGTGTGCCTGGCGGGAGATGTTGTCTACAATCCCATGGAAAGAAAACAATAAGAAAACTTTGGAACAAAGGGCGTTCTGATTCCATCAGAAAATCATCGACGATTCAGGTTCAAGGCCAACAAAGATGTGGAAAGTTTTTGAGCAGACTTGGGAGGAGTTGAAAGCACACTGCTTCGTGGGGGCAGCGAGGAGGGATGCAGCTTGCAGGAGCTCAGGGCAGGAGGAGTTGCCCAAGGTAGGGGGCCAGCAGGGCGGAGAGAAAGCTCCAGCCCACAGAGGCGGTGGCCGCAGAAACTGGGATGAGGGGTCTGGGGAGGACCGTCAGGCCTTGTCACTGAGTAAACTACACAGGAGGGGGGCGCCCAGGGGACAGCAGCAACCTGGAGGCACCAATTCCGAGGAACTAAAGAATCTGACCCAGGCCATGAGGGGAGGGGATAAAAGGATGGACAGAGTTTAACATGCTGGGGGAGGTTTGTGGGGTCAGCTAGCAATTTGAAGGTACACTTCTGTATTTCCTTTCTAAGCAGGTCCCCCGTGTTCTGAGGCCGGAGTGGGGAGAGGGCCGAGGTGAATG